TTCCCTACTTGGCATGTCAGAGTTTGTTATATTTTTCGTTTCTTTTGTTTTGCAGTAAGAAAAATCCAGACCTCCAACCACACAAATTCAGTGTGCTCAGCTAAAACATAAGAAAAAAGAAAAGGAAAAAAAAAAAAACCAAAAAGAAAAAAAAAAAGAGACAAAACCCAAAAGACAGGTTTTTTTGGACCCTCTTAGAAAACCCAGAAGTAATAGCAGTGAGTGCCTGAGCATCCAGGCACTCTTGCTCTCTCTCTCCACCACACACCTCCTCTCCCCAAAAGCCATGGGAGGTCACACAGCCTTGCAATGACTCTGCAGTTCAACAGATTTGGACCAATTTGAACCAAAAGTCACACTCCCCACTTCACTCAAACTACACCAATCTAACCATTTCTAGTGCTGGCAGAAGTGCCGGTAGGGCCTTTGATAAGATCAGGCTCTCTAAATGCAACTTCCATCACAGGTTGCCTTCAACTCCACCCAGAAACCAACAATTTCCCAATGCTCGTCACTGAACACTTCAGTAATTTACAGTAGTGACTAAGTCACACAGACCCAGGACTATTAGTAATCACGGAGGGACAGGCAGCTGCAGAGCCTGCCTCAAGGACGGGTACATCACAGTGATCTCAGACCCCACTTTCCTCCAAGGACAGCACCACAGGTTTGGGAGATGCTCTCATACACGTCTTCTCCTCTTCTTCAAGTCACATTTCCATTTGACAGCCGAGACAGGCATGAGCTGGTCCTCACAGCCTGAACGCCCAAAGTGACCTTTACCACCCAGATCAAACCATCACCAAGCTGGCACAGTCAGTCTGTATCCATGGAACCATCAGCCACTGAAACTTCTTGTTGTAACCCCACAGAGGAGCAGTCAAGGGAACCTCTATCAAAGGCTGGCTCTGAGAAAGCTTCATAGACTTGCAGAATGGTTTGGGTTGGAAGGGACCTTAAAGCCCATCTAGTTCTAACCCCCCTGCCATGGGCAGGGACACCCTCCACTAGCCCCATCCAACCTGGCCCTGAACACTTGCAGGGATGGGGCAACCACAACTGCTCAGGGCAACCTGTTCCAGTGCCTCAGCACCCTCACAGTGAAGAATTTCTTCCTTACATCTAACCTAAATCTCCCTTTTTTCAGTTTAAAGCCATCACCCCTTGTCCTGTCACTCCATGCTCTTATAAACAGTCCCTCTCCAGCTTCATGCCCCTTGCCATTAGGTTAAATACTGTCTACAAGTTAGTGTAACACATGTTGCTCCCAGAAAGCCATCTAATCCAGGATTATTACCTGTATTTCATTACTTCCAGAAAATCTTCCACCATTAAAAAAAAAAGGGGGGGGGGGAGGGGACCCGACACACAACGGCGCAAGAAAAAAAAAAGGGGGGGGGGGGGGATGGGACACGACACACGACGGGACACGGACAGACATGGGGGATGGGATGAGGAGATGGACAGACCTGAAGGGCACAAACCCCTACACATTATACCAATCATTTGTGTTGAAAAAAAAAATTTTAAAAAAATCTATTTCTTCATTATTCTAAGACTTCCAACACAATAGAAAAAATGCATCATAAGGATGTTAATGCTTTTCTGCAGTACACAGAAAAAAAGAAAATTCACAGCCCCAAGAAAAACTGAAAAGAAATTTCTAAAACCAGTTTGAACATAAATTTCCTTTTTGCAAAACATGCAAAATCCATACAGAATAGCAAAGGGAGGATACAGAATCAAGTTTACTGAACTGCATGCAAAGTTTTTTGTAAAGCTTAATGAACAAATAATACAAGTAATCTTAAAAAGCAATTTGTTTTTAATTATAAAAGATCCCTATCAAATGTTCTAAATGATCCCTTAAGGATTCACCCTTTTTCTTGCTCTCTGCTAGAAACCACCTTGCCAACTGTCTCCTTCATTACAGCAATTTACTAAGAAAGAAAAGCAACACTGATGCTGAAACCTAAAGTGAGTCTTGCAGAAGGTAAGAGATTAATATGCGAACATTCAAAAAGCCCATTCTACTGACTGTTTTGAAGATAAACTGTATCTTTAAAAAAAAAAAAAAGTCAGTAAGTCACACTACCAGAAGTCACTTCAGAGTCTCAAGCCTGGCAGTGTCTTTGCAATAATTCTGGCTCCAGAAACTCAGATGATAACAGCCTGCACATTTGAGGGAACTATTCAGAAACAATAAATAACCAGACTTCAAACTGCAAAATTATTAACAAGAACATGAAAAGAGGAAGAAACAACAACAAAAAAAATTCAGATTTAATCTGTCCTTATGAGTCCAAATTAAGAAGAAACTAAAAATATTTAGCAGGAGTGGATAACATTGTGCCCAGCTCTTCTGCCTCACCCAGGCAGCTGTATGCAGCTGCCTGAACAAATCCCAAGCAGGGACCCAGGCACATTAGTTAAGCATTCATCATCAACAGGAAATGCGCATGAGTTCATATAAACACAGAAACACAAATATATAAACGAATAGCCTTGCATGGTTTAAGGTGTTTCAGACACCCCGTGGAATAGGGTTAGAGTTGTACCAGCTGGGAACCCACAGCATAGATGTATTTGTTTTGGAATTGCAAACAGCCTCAGGACTCAGAAGAACTCTTCTGGTGGGCACCATTGACCCACCCACGAACCTCCCGGTGCTACCACAGCTACCTAGCACCCCTGCCACTCTTAACTCCTTCATCACCTCCACAGTCAAGCCGAACAACCCTGGCTGTTCATGCTTGGAGGAGTAAAACGATGCATGTGTCAAAGCGCTCCAAGAAAAGACTGTAAGTGTTGTTTGCAAACCGTGCTCCAAATATGCTCATGCACAGACATTGCAACGTTAAAGGATTTTGTTTTGCAAGGTTCTGGGTTGCCTTTGAATGACCATCACAGGCGGTTAGAGGGATGGACACAGATAGCAACAGGGTTCCAGCTGGATCTGGACACTAGCATTCACCTTACGGAGGCACAGGCGAAGGGACTGGGAAACATCCCTGCACAAGTCATCTTTTTTTTCCCCCCCTCCAAGCATTTTCATTTGTGATGAGGCTTAGGGCTGAGAGGGCCTCAAAGCCCCCCTCAAACTGGAGGTCCCTCACAGCTGTGCTTCATCCAAACAGGTGGTAAAGGCTGAGTCTGGTTCTGCCCAAGTTTAAACTGCTAATTAATATTTGGTCTCAGAAGCTTGATATCAGGTAATAAAAATTACAGTCATCAGGAGGACACAGAAATAATAAAAATGGAGAAAACCTCAATTCCAGATAGCATTGAATTTTCTGAAGCACCATTAGGTTGCTTATTTACTTTTAAAAGTCTATCTACCTCTATCATTTTCTGGATGAGATACAATTTCTCCTGTGCCAGGGAACTAGATGGGATTCCTGTTTGGATTTCAGTGGTCTCTGAAACTGCATACTAAAGTGTCTCAACTTTTTTCAGTACTTTGTGGCTTCAGTTTTCCCATATTGCACAGTCAAACATAAACTGTTATTTTTTTAAACTCTTTCTTGCCTTGCCAGTCTGCACGTTCATTCTGCCACGTAATTTTCCAGCCACTGTTAAGTGCTTGTGACCTTGAAAGGGAGGCCATGACGAGTTGGGTGACACTGGCTATCCCAGTAGCTGCACATTTTCAGGTGGCGTTTCAGCTACAAACACATCTCTAGAGAGCTGCCACGTCACTTTTGGACTTCCCAGCCTCCATTACCCGGGCACAGCAGGCTCCCAAGCTCCCTTCCAAACATGGCTGCACACCACGATGCCGCCAAGCTGCTGGACCAGCCCCTGCATTGTATTTTTTTGACAAAGTTAAGCTCTGTGCTTCATTTCTCACAAACGCAGTTTGATTGTAGACAGCAGTCGACAAGTAAATCTACCCTTTTCCATGGCAAACTGCCCAACTTTAATATTTTTACTGGCTTACAGCTGGGTAAATTAAGCCCCAGATTTTTATTTATTTATTTTTTAATACCGTGCAACTGAAAATGAACAGCTACTTCACTACGACTGCCAAGGACAACCTTAAAAACACTAATGCAATCCAGTCCAGCTCTCAATAGATCTATAAAGGCTAGAGGACCAAAAATTTCAGCTTATCCACCCAAACAAAATGTTGGTTGGGCAGGAAGTCTAATATTTCGTTAAGATCCTTAAAAAAAAAAAAAAGAAAGAAAAAAAAAGACCCCTACGTGCTGGCAAACTGAAGATGGTAACAGTCCCAGCTCTAACACCATGAAATGGGAATTAAAACTTGCCGTGTTACTTACCCCAGCCTTCCCAGCATTTCAAGCTCTGGAACTTGTGGTCCATATGTCTCCACTTGCAGAGGCTGATATTCATACAAAGCTTCCTCCAGTTTTTGAATGGGAGCTAGTGAAATATGCTGACCCTGTTAACAAAATACAAAAAAAAAAAAGGTAAAAAATTTCTACATACTGGGTCAAGGTTTTGTTTTGACTCTTTTTTTAAATGCAATGCAAACACAATCATTAACCTGGTCTAGACAAAGACCATCCCATTAAGAACATAACTGTCTACTATATCACTCATTTCTTCATGACTTAAATTTCTTACTGGGATCTACAGTTTGGTAGTAATGTTTCATTAGCTATAACAGTTTGGACAAGGTAGGAGGAAAGGGAGAAGTTTTATTGAAGGCAGGCTTACCATTAGAGAGTGCAGCTGTTTCCAGTGTCACCAGTAAAATTATTATTAGGTAAAAATTTCGTTTATCAGAAGTAATATCAAACAAATGTCTCTAAGCAACCCTATTTGATTCTGTAATCAATTATTTCCTGAAATCCCTAATTAGAAAGGGAAGCCACTTCCATTTCTCTCTGTAGGCTTTGTGAGCTCCTCTATATAATAGCTCTCAAGATAGACTTTTACAGTTCAATACAATTAACTCATTCAACAAATTCCCATTTGTTTCATAACTAAACATACAGAAACACACAAACAGAAAACCTTCATTCCAGATGGTACTTTTGCAAGCCCTTCAGACCACTGAGAAACAGCTAGACATTCCCCCACACACACCCTCCAAGTCCCTATCACTCCAAGCTCTCACAAAACAGGAGACTTGTGGCTGGAAAGGAGGGGTCAGGAGGATGTGAGATAGAGCCAAAGTTAACAGATGTTGCTGCGTGACATTCTACACTGATTTGTTGATCTTTCACACAGTTTGAATTTTCTACTGTATTCTATGGTGCTCACAAAAATTAGCAGCAGCAGCAAAAAGACAGAGCACTATGAGCTCCCCCAAAACAGCCTGGCTTCCCCTGTAGAAATTGAGCTTCACATCTGCAAAACGTAGGAATTTAGGAAAGTAGTAGTATTGTTTTTGTAGACATTTTGTCTGCAACAGGAGATCGGAAGTTTTCCACGGTGTAATGCCGTGTACAGCCCTGGCTCCCACTGGTGATCACTTACTGAGCGTCACTTCCCTGGGGCAACTCCTGGAAGCATCTACTCCCTCAACTGGAAACTAAAGGCTCCTGATGTGGGACACTGGGTTAAAATTAACTAAAGGGGGGGGAGGGGGAAGTCAGTAGAAGGGGAAAGCTGTTAATTAAATTTGTGGTTGAGGACAGTGACCTTTCTGAATTTGGAACGTGGATATTTTTGTTTAGAGAGCTGCAGAAAATAGCTAAGAAAATTGAAGACATCAGTCATTGAGAAGTACTATCATGGATCTAGGCCTATCTCTATGGAAATATCAGCAGCACAAGTTTTCCATTGAAACGGCTCCGGTTTTGTGATGAGAACAGATAGTTCTGGCCTTTTTCTGCCCTGCCCGGGAGCCTAGCGGGACCTCGGCTAATACTGTTACAGTGACAGCGTCCTGAAGGCGAAACATAGTGAACAAAGTTCTTGAGTCAGCCATGAGTCACTCCAACTTTCATAGTCAGCATACCATTATTTCTGGGCCACAAACTACTGCTGCAACATTAAAAGCAGGCAACCACACATTAAAAAAGAAAAAAGTTAGGAAAAGAAAGGTTAAAAATTCAGTTTTAATCCCACTTCATGATATTTTAAGATACAAATGCAGGGTCTTTTTATATTGCTAGCAGTTGTCAATTTACAACCTGTTCAAGTTCATGAAAATATTGTATTTTGTAACTACATTCATGTGGGCATGTTACACCCATTGTAAGAGATTAATGTTTAAATAAGACTTTTACATTTAATTTTTTAAGAATATTTTTGTCTCTAACCAAACCGAAGGGAAAGACATATCAACATTTTACATGTGTACACCCTCATCTGGTGGGTGAAAAGTCTCAGTCTTCCCAAATCCAGAGTAATTTTGTTCCAGCCATAGCAAAGAAAATTCAGTTTCAGGCAAAGATCAAAACCATGGTAAATATTTTGGGAAATTACTTGTGTGTGGAAAAAGGGAGCAGCTCAGATTGCAGGAGCCACATCTCTGGAGGGCATCACCAGAACAGCTGCTCGCTGTTAGCGGAGTTGCCACTGGTGCATTCCTAACACTTTTTTAACAAGAGTGACTTCTGCCAATGTTGGCCAAGAGACACGGGAAGGCTCCCTACAAACGGACCAGGCTCATCACAAGCTTCTTTCACCACCACCATTTACATTGCTACTGATGAGCATCTCTGGGGACTCCTGGGAGGACAGGACAAAAATGTTTCGTTTGTCTTCCTCTCTCTGTGGGATTCCCAAGGTGCCAGAAGTCAGAAGAGATCACGATGGTCATTCACTCTCAGATGGTCAACCAGTAACTGCAGGGGAGCTCCTTATGAACAGTGGGAAGGCTGACTGGTCAGCACACCAGCCCTATGGTGGGCACTGGCATATGCACCATGGGGAAGCCAACAAGCCATGCCAAGACCCTCCTGTGAGGTGGGGTATTGCAAAAACAATGCCATGTGGTGGCCCAGAGAGCAGCAGCAAAACATTGGAAGAGAAGCAACATATAGAAACCATCCATCCTTGAGCTGGTCTGACCTCATGTCCAGCACAGGCCAGGACACTTTGTGTTCCTGTACGAAGCCCAAGGACTGGCAGTTCAGCCAAAGCATCTTCTTATGAAAGGCATCCAATCTAGAGTTAAAGATTTGAGATCATAAAGGTCCAGGCACATCCCCTAGGTAAGCTTTTGCAATAGTTAATTATCTTCACCGTTAAATATTGGCAGCTCATTTTGGTTCATCAAGGTAAGTTTCAAAGCACTGGCTACATCTTTCTCACCTATGTACTGGGCCAAGGTGCAAGTGTCAGGAACCAGTACATACTTTTGCACGGCAAAATGACTGCACTGCTTTGTGTCCAGCCAGCAGATCTGCACCTCAAGGAGACTGTGCAGCTGTATGACAGAGCTCATTTGTTTTCCTTTCCCAAATTCACAACTTTAGCTGATGGGCTTCAGAACATGGATTACATTCCACTTAGCAATGGGGGCGGGGGGGGCGGGTGCGGGAACAACACCCAGCCCAAAAAACCACAAGCTTTTAGGTAAAGACTTTTTCCTATAAACTAGGTATTAGTCTGCCTTGATTTGGGGAAGTGCTAGATGAAAGCATAAGAGTTACGACATACATTCCCACTTGAAAGGGGCTCAAACCTGGTCTGTAGATGTTCTGGGTATGAACAGGCTGCATCTACACCATGACTCCTTACAACGCACATACATCGGCATGGCCACGCAGGCTCCTGAGCTGGTGGGCTCCCAACTTGTTCAGCCCTGTGCAGATCACACTGTGGTCACGCCACCGGGTACGCCACACACTGGCGCAAAAAGGCTGGGATAGAAACCAATGAAAACAAAGTTTTGCCTTTCCTCTTTTCACTGATGTTGCGATAAGGTACGTTTACACTAACTCTTGTTGAAGTTAAAAGGCTCAATTTGACCAATATTATCTCAGTTAAAAGCAATTTGACCAGTAGCACCATGGTTTTGTGTCCCTGTCCCGAGTGGTCCACTAGCCATTTCATTCAAGACTGGTATAAAAGGCAAGCTGTTGTGTAACTTCAGGGACATCACAGGAGACAATAACTGTTACTTAGGAATGGCACAGCACTTTTACAGATCCAAAAACCATTTCACGTCCATGAGGTAAGATTTTTAAATTTCCTGTATTCCACCTAGACAGCCAGCCTAACCTCTTTCCAGCATTAGGAGGCATTTATCATCATGCTAAAACCAAAATGAAAGCAGTGGGTCCAAGATCCTGCGTTTGCATTGCTTTCGCCTGACAAACCTAAGACCTGACGTTGTGGTCATGGGTAAGTATTTCTAATTCCCCTCGGATGCTGTAATGTTTGTGTAAAAGAAGCTGACAGTATCCAAATGGAGATCGAAAAGGCTTCCAAGAACACAGACAACAGATTTTCCTGCCTCCTCTCCCTCCCACTCCTATCTTCGTGGCATATGAGTTTTTTCTCTGGGATTATTTTAGGCACCGTAGCTGTCTATTACATTTTGGAATGTATGGAACCACAAAACACACTGCTAATTAGAAGGAAGGCATTTGCTTATCCTTATGACTTTGTTTATGTAAAAGACTGAACAGCAATGGATTTGTGAGCGACTGACTTGCCATTCATGCGCTGTATGGTTTTAGATGAGAGAAATACAGGATTAGATCGTGAGAGGGAGTTTAAATAATGTCTTTGCATTACAAATAAAACAGGACTTGCTGATTTACTTTTCACTATCCCAGATAAACTGAGAGATGTCTCAAACAGTGTAAGTTATAAGAAACAAAAGCAGTAGCCAATTTTTATTTCAGACTGTGATATAACATGGCATTAAGAAAAAAAAAGCCATGGAATACATACAGAGAAGAGCTGCCCTTGCAGTGACAAGAAGCTTATTTTAAACAAAAAACAATGTCCTTTTAGGAAAAGTCACAGCTACTAGAGCATCAAAATTCTAGTGTATCAATTCACCTTTCACACAGGGGTTTGGGGAGGGACTCTTGGCAAATGCCAGGGGTGTCAGTATTTGCCTGCTAGCAGAAAGAGGTTATTTTAGCACACAGAGTCCAGAAGTATCAGCTGAAGGTGAAGCATTCACACTTCTTCCCATCCTGTCACCTCTCCCTTTCCCTGTCTCCAAAATGACATTGCCTTCCTTCACCTCCTTCCCTCGGCAGCAAAAAGAAGTAACAACTGACAGTCTTCTCAGAAATAACTGAAGTGCCAAGGAGGAGGAGAAAAGAGATTGACACCAAAAATGCACTAGTGGGGGAAAGAGGAGGAACAGCTATGCCACAAAAACATCCCCGGGCAAGAGACAGAAGCCAGAGATCGGCGTCATTAAAACTTGTCCAGACAAAGCAGGTTTCTGTACTAGAAGCGGCTGGATTAGATGATGTAGCCAAATCTTTTTGCTTTTTCAGTTTCTCTCTGCTTAGGAAC